AGTAATACGACGGATTACGTGTGATATACGGACAAAACACCTCCCCACTTGCGAGTGGGTTTTTCAGATGAGAAGATTACAACTCCATCGACCAACAAAAAAAGGAGAATATGAAACCTTTTCAGTTCACAGAAATCTCAGAATTGGTCATATTGAAGCAGGTTATTTATATAATATTCATGTTGCTGTACAGTGTAAACACATAGAAGTGCCGGGTGGAGAGCATTGAAAATCAACCAGGCATATAAACTAAGAACAAATAATAAATCGTTAGCTTCACAAATAGTCCCCCTGCCACTTGTCTGGCTGGGGGCTGTCAGACAGGAGATGTCTTGGCCCTAATATCCTTTTTCATTATCAGAACTGGTTTAATGAGTTCATCCTCATCATCCAATACTATGTCCCCAGGTTCACCATCACACAATGTTGATTGCTCCCTTGCTCGTCCCGGAAGTTCAGCAACGTCTTCATCCTCGACATCTAGACTGATATAGTCAGCAAGTTCTCCTTCAAGGCCATCCTTATTTTGTTCCCCTTGCCTTGGAGCTACAACCATCGTCCCAGGTTCAGAAACATCAATCCATAAAGAACCAAAATATCGCCTTACAGTTCCTCTGATCCACGCATCTCTTCCTTTTCTTTCCCTTCCTTGTTTTTGGGGGTGATGAAGTTTGCACTTGCTCCCTTGGGTGCAGCTTCCTGTTGCTTGAAACGTAGGGCAGACATAGGTGTGCTTCTTCCGACACTGAGACCACATAAATGGCACAATCTTAACGCAAAATCACTTGTATATGGGGCAGGAATTGGATGCCTTAGGGGCAGAGTTAGCAACCAATCTAAAGTTTCTAAGAGTAAAGAAAGTAGCTACTATATAAATTATAGGTACGAGATAAATCGTCCATACAATCTTGAACTGCAGGCAAAAACTGAATTTCACTCCTAAGGTGTCGCACTCGACTGAAATTCAGTGTGAACATAAACAGACATAGTAACCCCAACGACAATATCAAATCACCAAACTGGAGTTACAAAACCTGTTTCCTCAAAGATGCTAGAGAAATGAAACAATTGCATGTAAAAAGATTGATATGTCTGATTTGAGTGAAAAGAGAAGCTTAACATTCATATTATCCACTAATTTTACTGAAAATTTAACATGATAGCCTAATACCTCATTGCCATCAGCACAATATCCCCGAGGAATCCTTCACAAACGGATGCCTTAGGGTTCACATTAACATGTCTATAGGGGCAATTTCTATTTGTGCATAAACCTGCCATTCAACTTGTCAGTATAGTAATTTCATGTTAATCACTCAGAAAGAAAAAACTTTCTTCTATGCACCTTGCAAAAAATAAGAGCAATCAGGCATTCTCTCGGGAATAACCTGAAAGGAAAAACAAAACAAAACAAAAACTTAGACATCAACTCTTGACAGACAGATCAGCAAATTGCAGCAGACCACATACAGTCCCTAGGACTTGATATATGACAAAACCTTATGAGTCAATTTGCAGTTGGGAGTGGAGCATAAACCATTCAGAAACTTAGTACAGACAGCAATTTTAGAGGGATCATGAATATAGGGACACTTCCTGTCATCCTTGTTACATTTCCCAAATCTAGTAAAGAATTGACAATACTTCTGCTTCCGAGCCAACCGTTGTCTAGCTGTGTGTAAACTCCACCTAATTTTTCATTAGCCAATATACGAGTTCGCTTCTTTGGGTCTCTGATAAGCTTATGGCCATTGCCAATTCGGACATACCTGTGAATGTTGGAAGTTATCATTTATATACTATATACACAAAATTGTAAAGATAGTGAAACTATAAGAAGCCATTACCAACTGATTAAAATCAACAAAGAAATTAAAATAAATATAATAAAGCACATACTCATCATTTCCAATCACTAATCTCCTTGGAATGTATGAACTTTTCACATGCAAACCTGGACGGAGAGAAGCAGAGGGTAGGGGCTCATCAGCTACAAGAGCATTACGTTTATTAGTCCCAATAAAAATTGCCTTTCTTCTGGGAGAAATATAGCCAAATATTCCATAAAACATGTTGACAGAAAAAAAGAACAAGGAAAAGAACAATGGAAAACATTAGAAGTTAAAAAAACGTTATAATTCTGAAAATATTACCACCATAGACACCAACAAAAGAAATACAAGAACTAATAATTATAATGCCACCATATGCTGATATTGATGCTTATCAAAATATGTGCATGGGAAAGTTTAAGCCAACTTAGCCACAAGCTATTTTGACACTTGGGATATATGCGTCACCGTTGATATTTTTCCAATGAAAAAAACACACCTCTTGGAGAGTCTATCTTAACATGGAGGAGAGCGGACCCTTTGAAGTTGAGGGTCGATGCATTTCCCTGAAGTCTATTTATTCTGGATATTTTCTTTCTTTCTTTCCCCCCATTTTTAAGTTCAGGGAAATTTATGAGTTTGTATTTCAGAATCCCAAGGCTAACAAGAATTAGTCTATTTCAGAACACCCAAGTCAGTAGAGCTTATTTGACATAAGCTCTTCTTCAATAAGCACATAACGTGTTTATCCATATGGGATCTAAAAACTGATGTATAGCCTCAAGATGCATAAGGGGGCATAGAGAAGGTATCATAATCGATTGTATACACATAAGGTTCTACCAACAAAATGATCATGGTAAAATTGATAAACTTAGTGTTGTTATAACATTCAATCAATAAGCTCAAAACGCGACATACCTTTACAGGTATTATTAAAGGGACCGGAGATGCCATCATTCACAAATGACATTGTTAATGAGAAATCACCAACTTAATATACGAGTAAACAAATCACCAATTTCTCATCTAATATGAACAATTGTCGCTCTAGATCATACTTGCCAAAGGCACATCTTAAAATTACTTGAATCGCATGTCCCAGGTAAATGTATTCTTTTAGGCAATCGTGACACATTAAGAAAAGTAGTGAATATAGGAGGTGAAGGGGATGCAACATCTAATAAACAAATTAAGGCATAAAGGTTGAACACCTGAAATCCTTTGAAGTGTCCTCCCCGAAGAGTCCATTCTGTAACGAACCAACCCAATACGAAATATACGTTCTCCTAATTGACCACCACTTTAAAGTCAGAGTAACACAGAAAATAAAGGAGATGCTATTTTAAAAAGGTGAACACCCATAACATGCATCACAGCAACATGAAATTCTTGTAGAAAGAATGATTTTCCTACTCTTTGCCCGAGAGCTGATACAAGCACCATCTTTCTGTTCCCTCCTTTTCTTCTCTACAGCAGCAACTGCAAGTGTGGCTTCCTGTAATGATCATAATAATTGTGAGAAGAAAAAATCTTTTACTAGGAAAAACTATACCAAAATTAAAAGGTAAATTTCAATGGGAAAAACCCAATATATCATATGCATCAAAAGCCAAACTAACCTCGTTAACTTTCTTTGAAGACTTCTCAATTGATTTTGACCATTTTAGACTAGATCCGCCAACGCCTAACACCTTGGATTTCCGAAGGGAAAATCCATGGGTTGACCTAGTATAAACAGTATTCCTCTTTCTCGACAGAACCAATTTCTTGCTGAAACAAAAAACAGTAATTGACCATTGCAATTGACTATGACTGAGGCAAATAATGTAGCGCAACATAACCATAAACAAAACAGAAAATATTGAGGAACAAACACCACCCCAGTACCTGATTGCAGATAACGAATTAGTATTGGAGCTCAAAGCAGGATTATAAATGAAGCTCCTTAAGTATGTTGCTCTTTTCCATGGAAAAAACTGAGGCAGAACTTTCGGATGATGCTGAGAGTCATTATCGTTTTTGGATGAACTTGCACCACAGAGTGTCCACACCAATGAGGCTCTCAAAGGTTTGCATGAACTTCCAACAACTGCATATGAAGTCTCAAGTTAATTGTTTATCTAACCACTATGCAAGAAAACAGGAACTAATAAATGGAAATGCACTGGTCCTGATGCCTCAGCAGAAACAAATTAGAGAATGGTGGCTGAGAATGACAGAAAACATTAGCAAAATTACTCCCGGTTAGTTCAGCAAACAAACACAAAAATGGAGGAGTAAAAAAGAAATTTGAGAACTACTTTGAGGGTCAAAACCCATATAGAACTGAAAAGATGATGTTCCGAAGACCGTGGACTCCTGATCTGAACAGACAATCTAAGACCAAAAGAACATGAAGCCTAAGATAAATCTAGCATGGGCGTATTATCAATCAACTATCGCACAGCCCGGGACAGCAAAAAGCAAAAAATCTAGTGTTGGATCTAAGCTATAATCATATCTACTACAGCCATAAGCACAAAGAAGAGTATTCGGTTCAAGTTACATTCCCTACTCTGGAATTACAAAAGCACGGAGATTAATTGATTTGACAACTTGATGAGTTATTCATACATACCCTTTAGTGACCGCCTCTTACCAAACCTCCTGTTGTAACCAGCCTTACGGGCCCTGTGCCTATCAGAGTTTACAGTGGGCATTGCAACTGTCTGGTTGATTTGACTTTCAAATGTAGTCCTAACTAACTGATTGTTGCTCCTCTTGTAGTACCCATCGGAAGAGGCCATCTGGACATTGTCATCAGTAGCAACAGGAAGTTCACAAGAATTTGAAGTTGCAACCAACTGATTTGATTTGCGCTTTACATAGACTATTCTCTTTGAATTCAAAGACACATGCTCATCACGTGCTTCAACTTGGCTCTCCACGTTGTTTGATGGAAAAGTTAGGTTTTCAACAGTTTCATCCGACTTCAGCGCATCATCAGAATTTGGAGCATCACAAGGCTCCGTAAAGTTTCTAGGTTCAGATGCACTATCACGGAAAGCATTGGAAAGGGGTTCTATTAACGAGGAAGATTTATTCTCCTCACATGCTGTTGCCATATGATTAGGTAATTTAGTGTCAACAGGTAGAGGAGGCGTTCTTTGCCCCTCCAGAGAAGCGGGTGTCAATCCTGATTTCAAGAGATTGGTGTGATTTGAGATATCAACCATAATTTCAGATCCAGTGCTCTTATGAGACTCATCAAACCCCAAAGAAGAAGACTGATTAGCAGTGCATTGTGGTGAAGCAGAAACAGAAGTATGTTTCCTTACAAGACTGTTACCTTTACGAATGTAAGAAGTATTTTGAAAGTTCCCCTTCTTTTCTGAAACTGACCTTCTGGGAGGCACAGATCCTGCCAAAGGATTATTTCCTGGTAGAGAACCAGAATTATTACCTGTACGATGCCAAGTTCGAAGTTTTGAAACCTGGGGAAAAATGCAGATGTCTTTGACTTGGGAAAATTTAAGTAGGATCGACCCTTGAAAGTAGTAGGAATGGCAGGACCCGAGTGATTTTTGCCATAATTTAGCTCTGCACAGAGGAATTCAGTCCTTGAGTCATAACTCTGGAATCAACTTGCAAAGGTTGAGGCATCATCTTCCTTGTGATCAAGTTATCACTTCTGGCTGCAGGACTTGACTTTATATTCTCTATAGTGTTCTGTGAATATGATGTACAAGCAGCTAAGTCACAATCCTGTTCAACCTTAGATGTGCTATCCGCATCATTTTCATCCCCTTGAATGCTTTCATTTTGGATTGTTTGACAATCTGAAGTCCTACTGTCAAGTATGTCCAGCATGGTCCCGGAGAAAGTTATCTGATACTGTACTGCAGTCGCTTGTTACAGCATCAGTATCAGCTGGGCAGGACAAAGATTGATGTTCAAGAGGTAAATCATCCTTTGTTGAGGATCAATGGATTTCATATCAGCACTCGGAGATCTTTCAACGAATTCTCTGGACTCAAATTTTTCAATCCTTTATATCAATCTTCTCTCTCTCAGTATTTCCAGAAACCAGAATGTTCTTTAGAAAGTTGTTCACAGGCACAACAGGGAGAGAATTTCTTTCTGCTCATTTTCCAACAATGGAAACTGATCGTTTGGAATAGCCACATCCTCATGCAAATGACAGTTGATGGCTGGGTGCTGCAACTGGGAGCATTCAAATTTTGTAATATTTGTATTTGCATCCATAGACCCAACAGATTCTCCAAACAAGCTATTCTTGTACAATTTAGCACTACTCTCAGGATAAGGCAGGGATAGAGAAGCAGAAGGTTTAACCATGCTAGAAAATTCGACCTCTTTCTGGTGCGTGTTGTTATCACTAATACTAATAGGAACTTCTGCACAAGATGTGGCAACCACAATTGCATCACAAAGTTCAGCTTGCAATAAAGTGACATTCATGTGACTACTAGTTTTAAACATTGGTGAAGTCCTATTTGCGCTGTTACTGCCACTATGTCCAAAGTAAACTTCCGTCTCTGAAACCTCCCCTTTCCCATGTAAAACAGTAACCCCACCTGTGCTGGATTGTAAGCAAAAATCTGAGCTTCGAACATATGGATTTAAAACTTCTGACACACTTGAATTTTTTGACAAACTTAAGGTTGCATGCACATTTGCAAGGCTAACCGTATGCATAGGCTCTGGAGATATGCCCCCGAAATCTGAACTTGAAAAATTTAAATGTGTCTCAACTTTTCTTTTTTTAGACATATTTGCATCTCCTTCAGCATATCTAACCAAAGAATTAGCATTTGGAGACTGTTCAGTGGTACAATTCCCAGGAGATGCAGTGACATCCACAGGGGATGCCTCCTTTCCAGAATCTTTGACAATAACACTATGGGGAGTCATGATATTCTCTTCTGAATTAGTGAGGCTGTTATCAGAAACATGAATTGGTAATCTTGAAGGTTTTGGGCATTCTTGACCATCTGAAATCCTAGTTTCCACAGAACTTGAAAGACTATCCATTTGACTATCCATTCCACCACTTGGCACGGGGGAGCAAGTCTCTGGGTTTTCTTCCAAAATAACATTTTCAGATAAAGTAAGGGCTTTAGTTTTGCAATCTTCCTTGCCATCATTTTCAAAATCAGAACCTGTAATGTTCTTTTGTGCATTACCAGTAAGATCATTATAACTCAAGCAAGCCAGACTAACATCAGCAGAATTACATGTGTTTATAACATCTGTATTGATTACACTCTCAGCCAATGCTGACAGTCTGCTGTTCTTGTCATCTTCTACCTGAAACTGATTATCTAAATATTGCACATTAGAATAGTGGTGAGGTGATAGGGAGGCTTCATTCTGACAAAGTTGCATATTAACATCATCACCATTATTAATGTCAGCAAATGTAATTCTATTTGGTGACTTAGCGTCAGAAGCCTTGTCATTATTTGGACTACCACGCAAGCCATGGACAAAATCATCTGCCTTCGGACAATCAAAATCATTCTTTACATCTTTAATGCTAAAAGCACCCAAAGAAGTATTAGAAATGTTTTCACTTCTCTCAATTCTATCCACTTGCCCTATATCAGCCTTATCATCAGCCTCATGCTCCCGTGAACTGGCATTTGGCCCTGTACTAGGCAGAAGTGTATCTCCCTTTCTACTATCAGGCAGCAGATGTCCTCCCTCTGGAGAAGGCAAATTATGTGGCACCTTGTCGACAGCAGTGATTTTCTCCTTTAAAGAAGTTTCAGTTTTGTCAGATCCAGAGGTAGATAAAGGATTAAAACTATCAGCTTTCACAGTTCCGTTAGGCATATTTGATGACATAGAATTTGAGACATTTAATTTAGGATTCGAAACAACTTTCTTCACCACTTTCTTTACAATTTTTTTCTTCTTGGCTACCCTTGGATGTGTTTTAACAGAACAAGAGTTGGTAATTTCATGAGAAACAATTCCCTTAGGGGTTTGAGCCCCCTCATTTTTCACATCACAATTAGTAGGTACACCGGCACAACGCCGAGAACAACTGTCAGAGACCTTCTTCTGTAAGTTAAACTCCTTGCTTGAACTAGGGATGCAATTCACCTTGCAAGGTGACCCACCTAAGTTTACAGCAGCCATAGATGGTTTGGCAGGTTTTAAACCAGGAGAATCACTATCAGAGACCAGACTATTCTTTCCCTTTTCTGCAGGAACAAAATCTGTATCAGAAACAGAGGTGATATCGACATCAGAAATTGCAGAACTTGAAGGTGCCACAATTGCCTTAGCCACCAGAGAATTTGATTTAAAAGAAATATCAAGCTCAACAGGACTTCTTTCTCTCTCTTCTGCTTTGACCCCATAACCTGAATACTCAAATTGATCTTTCCCTCTAAAGGAATTAGAGTTTGTGTCATCACCATGGCTGGTATATTGTAACTGTTCAATCTCACGGTTCTTGTGATTTGGTTTTACCATTTGAATTCTAAGAAGTGCGCTCTTTTTCTGAATTTGTTTCTTTGGAGCCCGACTAAATTCATGACCAGATTCCCTGTTCCCTCTATTATTGTATCTACCCAATTCTGAACCATAATACTTCCCGGAGGTTAGACGAATACCATCACCACCGTTCTCGTTGTTTACCAGTTCAAAAGATGAACTGTGTGGGTCTCTGGGGCCCTTCCTATCATTTACCCACCTCTTGCTATCACCAAGTCCATCTCTTCTAGTACCCCTAGATATTTCGTTGTCCCGTTCCACGCCGTGATGCACATAATCGCCATTCTTGGAATCAAGATCCCTTGATAATGTACTCTGACTAGACATGATTCCGAAGTCTCCCGAAGATGCATGGAGATTTGATCCAGAATCCCTGCGGCGATGATATTTCTCATCACCTCTACCCCACGCAAATTCTTCCCTTGTCTTGACTTCATACCTATCAATGTGATCAACTCTTCCCCTCGAGTTGCCCTCTGAATTATACCTAACTTTATCAACAGGCGGATATGGCGCGGCTATTTTGTGATTCAATGGGTGCTGATGATACAATTGCCGGTCAAAGTCAATTGGAGGGTAAGGCCTCGACGGCCGATTATCTGACACAACCCTCAGCGGGTTCCAACCACCGATGCGGTTATCGTTATTGCGATAATCGAAATCAGGAAGACTATGGCGCGGACGGTCATCATCGATGATCATCCGATTTGAAACCCTCTGCGAATGTGTGAAATCGTGAGGGTGGCTAGAAGATACAGGGCGTTCTTCTTCAACCGGACGGTTGGCATAGTTTGGAGCCTTGAAAGAAAACTGGGATTGATGAGGAGGATTATAGGGGTGAGGATGCGTTGGAGGAGTGTTGCGCACGGTTCGATAGGAAAGAGAAGGAGGAGGGGGTGGGGGTGGAAGAGTTGGTGCCTGCGGCGGTGGCGGCGGAGGAAGTTGGTGAGGGCGCAGACAGGGATCTTCGGGGAACTGTGAATGGCGTGGGTGATTAGGGGGAAGAGGAGCGTACCTTGCATGCTGATTCTGATGCTGGTGCTGGTGATGGAAGTGGGATGAGTGATCCATGGATGAAATCCAGAGAATTGGGGATCTAAGCTTCCACTGCGTGCAAGTAGGACTCGTGTTCCTCTTGAGAATCTGCAGGCGGAGCCTGCAAGTAAACTAGTTTTGGTAAAGGTTCGGCTGAATGTTAACGAGGTAGCCGCGTTTGACTTGGAACCATTGATTCTCACTTCTCACATTATTTGAACTGGCACAGGCAGGCCGGTACCACTGAAACTGGATAACATGCAATCCATGTTTGCTTGGCCCATATAAAATCCTTCGTTTTTTTTTGGCCAGCCATATCAAATCAAATTAAATCAAAGATAATTTCTTTTGCCAACCAAATCAAAGATAAATTATAACTTGCAGGATGAATGTTATATCCTAAAAGATAAATATTCTTGTTACTTGTGATAGCGAATATACAATTTTCTGGCAGAGAAAATATAAATAGTTTAAAATGTCTGTTTCATATATTTTACATTTTAAAATTGTATTACAAAAATGATGCAATTTAAATTGAAATATATTCATGTGTATAGACTAACGGATATGCAACACTATGGCAAAAGAATTTAGCTATTTATAATGTCTGTTTAGTATATTTCAAATTTCAAAATTGTATTATAAATATGATTTATTTTAAATTTAAGTTTATATTTATAATACTTATTTATCAATAGACGGAAAAATTCTTGCGTGCTCTCGGTGCACCACGGCATTTGTGCACTGTAAGGATGACATATCAAATTTTTTCTATCTTATGTGTTATCACTATTTCTGTCATTATTCATGTTGCCTGACAATAATCTCTCTCTCTCTTTCTCACGTGCATCCATTTTTCAAAACCCCTCTCCACTTGCTTTTCCTCTTCCCGATGATGCCACCCCGCCATGTTTTGCCAAAAAATTTCATGAGTTCTGGCTATATAATACTGATGCACAATCTAGAACCAAAAGCAACTTTTCCTCATCAAGAAATTCATTTTTTTCTTTGGCAACATCGTTTTTTTTTTTTAGTGGATTCTTTGGCAACATCTTGATATAAAGGAATATTCATCGAAACAAGTAATTTGAAAATTTTATCTTTCAACCTCTATGATATTTCACCATCTTTTTATTGGCAACTATTACAGGATAACTTAAAAAACTTAAAAGTCGAAGCTTCACACCTTGAGACGTGACGCCACGAACCAGACTACAGTACAGCTAAGTCTTGCAGCGAAAGATTAAAGAGGACAATGTCATCTTGAAGTGGATCCATCTTCCAGCAAAATCTTCAACCCAATGACATTTTGGATGAAATATTCGACCACTAGCTTCTTGCGGCCGACTTCCATCTTGGAAATGAGTGATGTGGTGTTTGAAGTTGGGAGAAAGGATACAGACTTATGTGTTATATATCTCTTTTTTACCAATACAGTTCTCTGTTCCAACTCTCCAAAGTTCCATTTCGCCGGAGACTGCATTTTATTCCGCCACAAGATCTCTTCACGACGACCGGCGTTGGTTAGATCTTAATTGCTCTTCTCTTCCCACTTTCATTTTCACAAGATGACGAGAGGATTAGACGAGGGAAAATTTTGTTGGAAAGATTAGGTCGTTTTGGTTCTGGGTTGTGCATAAACATTGCAGCCAAAACTCATGAAAATTTTCGACAGACCATGGCGGGGTGCCTTCATCGGGAAGAAGAGAAGGAAGTGGAGGGGAGTTTTGAAAAATTGATGCACTTTCTCCTATAGACATCCTTTCTTTTCTTCCCTGGGTCGGTGTAACCAAAAGATTCAAATTACGACATCTGTCTTTTTAAAAAGTTATTTTTAACTAGAAAAAATCAATATTTGAAAAACAAGTTAATCTGTGTAGCTGATTCTTCAAGGCATTCTTTTAAGAAATTAAAATAAATTAAACATATATTATATTTACTTATTAATAAATGTTATGTTATATTTTACTTTATTATCTTTGCCAGTATTTACTTATCAATAAAATAAACCATTTGAATCCTAAAATAGCCAACGACTTCCATCCATCAATTTGCGACATGCGAGAAAAAGTGAAGAATGCAAGAAAGGAGATATTAAGTGCATGTTTGGAATGGTTATTAGATTAGATTAAAACCCAAAAAATTAGTTACCATCAGACACAAAATTACTCTTAGCCTTATTGATCAGCATATATAGCTAGTTCATCTTTTACACTTTTACCATTACAACTTTATCCGATAGACAAGTATTAAAACCGATACAATTTCCAGTAGACTACAACCAAAAAGGAAAATAGTCCAAAATTTTTAGACTAGCTTTCCTGACTGTTAAGGGAAGGAGGAGGGTACATTAACAACCTCCCATCCTAGACCCGTTTATGAAACCCCATGGAGGATGCAGAGGCAAATAGAAGAGGCAAGTAAATTTTATCTACAAATCCATCAGCTAAGAGGACAGTTTCTTCCGGCAATTAACCAGTAAGTTTGGTCAATCAAAGCTTGATGAGCGGCTCCACCTGCCTTTCAAGTAATCCTCTAACGAGACATTTTGCTCAATACTGCACATGGAGAGCGAGTCATCCTCCACATCAAGGAATGCTAGATTCAGATGTGACTGTAAATTAGCAGGTGGACAAGCTTCATCGTCGTGTGTTTCTAATGCCTTAGAAGCGTTAGCTTCTAACCTTGCCCACTTCATCACATCAGCGTCACCTTGAAGGAGCTTTGTAATCTGCGGTCCAAAATAATATGCATGTTGAATTTAATACACCGAAGACGAGTGAGAATATTACACCGCGTTCAAACAAGAGAATAAAGACAAGGAATCAGATATGCATATTACAATTGTAGAACCGCATGATGCAGGAAAAGCAAGATAAATAAAGTCCGGTCGTTTTCCAGCCAAAAAGAATGGGGGGAAAAGGTCCCCATCGGATCACTTACAAGGATCATTTGAGGCCTGGCTCTCGGAGCACGTCTGATGCAGAGCGACGCTGCCAAGACCATCCTCTCCATCTGGTCCTGATCGTAGTTACTACCCAGACTTGGATCTAATAATTGTGCGACTTTTCCACTATTCAGAATTGGACTTGCCTGAAAAATGATTTAAGAGAAGAAGTTATTGGACCACAACATATGATGATGAAGTAAAGGAGCAGAGGCTAGAATTAGGATTGGATAGACATACCCACATGACGAGGCTCTCTTGACCCTTAGGATAATCACCGCTTATGGGCTTTCTTCCTGTTAGAAGCTCGAGGAGTACGACTCCAAATGCGTAGACATCAATCTTAGCATTTACTTTGCCATACATGAAGTACTCGGGAGCCAAGTAGCTATAAAAACATGTAAACTCAGAAGTTTAGGACCACTTCAAGAGTAATTTCTCCCTAACGCAAATAATAAGTTTATGGATAAGGTGAAGAATGTAGGAGTTGAAGGTACAAACCCAAAGGTCCCAGCAACGTCTGTGCAAGTTATATGAGATGATGAGGTTGATGCCCATTTAGCAAGCCCAAAATCAGATAGCTGTAGAAAATTAAGCAGAAAAATTGAAGATTCACCAATGTAAACAATTAAAAATTTATGGGAATCCATCTAACGGAAGGAAAATTACCTGGGGTTCAAAATCCTCAGATAATAATACATTCGATGACTTCACGTCCCTGTGAATCACACGTTGAACATCTCTATTATGCAGATAATCCAGAGCCTCAGCAACACCAACTGCCACCTTATACCTCTCGGTCCAACCAAACACAAGTGGATTTTTCTTGCTCCCTATTTTGACACGAACAACAAGATGTAAATAAGAAGTTAACAAGACCATGAAATGTAATTAGAGATGGGTGACGGTGTACCATGAAGAATCTCTTCAAGGCTTCCTCTTGATAAGAAATCATACACCAAAAGAAGATTGCCGTCCTCAATGCAGAATCCCAGGAGAGAAATAATGTTTTTGTGATGCAAGGTAGTGATAATTTCTATCTCCAAAAGGAACTCCTTTAAAACATCATCAGAGGGCTTTAAGATCTTAACTGCTAGTTCCTTACCATCAGGAAGATAGCCTCTATAAACCTGACTACTTCCTCCTTCCCCGATCAAATTTTCTGAAATCATATAGGTAATCACATTAAAAAAAAAAATTTCTTTTTGACAAATTGGACTTCAAGAGTCAGATTAACTTTACAGCATACCAGGCAAGAAATTTGACGTAGCCAATAAAAGTTCTCGGTACTGAAACAATCTGCAGGTTGATGAGTATTTCTCATGAAGACCATCCAATTCTTTAGGAATTTTCGTTGAATTATGGTCAGGCGAAGAGGCAGTCCCTATTTGAGCACTTACTGGAACAATAGCACCACTCTCGCCATCCAAAGCCAAAGATTGATGATGATCTGGATCAGAACTGTCTGGTCTGTGAGCATGATCCCCGGCATATGAAAGATTTCTGCTCGGCAACTGCATTGCCCACTGAACAACTGAGGTCTGGCGCCCAGGAGATTGCCGACCTGATGAAATTGTCCTGTGTAGTAGTGGCCAACCAGGTTTTAGTTCAGGCAATTCTCTGACTGACAGAACGTTAGCACTTGATGCTGCCTCTGCCGTCTGCGCAAGCACTATAGACATAGAATTATCTTTGTCACTATCACCAGAAGACTCTTCTGCAGCTTGCTTGCAAGCGGGATTTGGCAATGCATGTGATGGACCACAAAGTGAGCAGCTCCGTTTCTGAACGGTTTCTGTAGAATCAAGAAAGGCCTTGGCCAAACTGTTATCGGAAATTCTGCAAGTACCCTTGTCAAGTATTCCTGTGTTGTCATCATGTAGTACTTTGGAGCTAGAACTGAATGTCCGGTGAATTGAAGCAAGCAAGCCATTTCTGGCACGACTATCTACCCCTGCAACAATTCGATGAGTGAGAATTCTACGGTAATCATGAGATTCAAAACGCTCTGAAATATGAAAAACTCGAAACCTTGCAGGTCAGCAGGAGCTGCTGATGAGCCTTCTCTCTTGAATACAACTTTTCCATTATTGACAGCAAGAACCCAGCAGTCCTTGGATAGCTTCTTGGCACAGTACTTAGCTACGGAGGTAGATGTTCGAATTTTATGAAGGCCTTGAGCAGTCCCCGCTAAAATATGAGTTGCAGA